GCAGGGGCAGGTGGCAGGCCTGGGAGCCAAGTCAGAGGGGCTGCCCTGAGGAGCTGGCAGTGGCCTGGTCTCCAGGCTCTGCTCCCACAGACTCCAGCTCTAGTCTCAGGAGGCAGGGACCACAGGAAGAGGCCAAGCCCCTGCCTGCCACTCTGGACAGCCAGGGCAGGGCAACATCGCCAGCAGAGAGACTTTGTCTCCCTCAGCTTCTGGGAGGGCACAGCCTCTTTGGTGCCCTGGAGAACCCTGGGCAACCTGGGTGCTGAAAGGCCCTGATGCCTGCTGCACAGGGCCAGCCAGGGCTCAGGCAAGAGGTCCCAGGGGACTATGCTGGAGCTGCACTGGCAGGAGTCATGCCCAAAGAACCATCTGTCTCTCTTACACACACACTGACACACTCACACGGTCACACTCACACACACAAGGGACACACACACACAAACTCACACTCACAGACTCACACACACACCCACACACACTCACTCACGCACACTCACACACTCTCACACAATCACACTGACACACACTCACAAACTCACACACACACTCACGCACTCACACCCACACACACTCTCACACACTGTCAATCACACACAAACTCACACTCACACACACTTGCACACACACAGTCACACACACTCACACTCTCACACTCTCACACACACTAACACACACACACACACACTGCATTGCCAGTCAGAGCTTTCCAGAACCACCAGGCGTGGATGTACTCAAGCCAAGCAGCCCAAGAAGCCTGTGTTGTGCTGTGGGCAGGGCTCTGCCAAGCTGGAGCTCCTCGGTGGCCCAGCTGGGACTTGGATGAGTGGCCCGAGGCCACTGTCATGAATAACCACAAACCGGGTGGCTCACCACAGAGGACATAGACCCTCTCCCAGTCCTGGAGGCCAGAAGTCCGAAATCCAGGTGTCTCAGGGCCACACTCCCCCGAGAAGCTCTAGGGAAGGCTTCTTCCTGCCTCTCCCAGCTCCGGAAGGCTCCAAGTGTCCTGGGCTTGTGGCCACCTCACTCCACTTTGCCACTGCAATCACATGGCTTCTTGTGGGGGGGGTGCATGTGAGTGTGTGTGCATGAGTGTGCATATGTGTGTGCATATGTGTGTGCGTGCGTGTGAGCATGTTTGTGTGTATGTGTGTGTGACTGTGTGTATGTGTGGGGTGTCTGCATGTGTGTTTATGTGTGCAATGTGTGTGTATGTGTTTCTGTGTCTGTATGTGTGTCTTGTGTATGCATGTGTGTGAGTGTGTGCATATGTGTGTGTCTGTGTGTGACTGTGTGTGTATGTGTATTTTGGGGGGGGTGTGGGTGCATATGTGTGCATGTGTGTGTGTGTGTTTCTGTTTGTGTATGTGTGTCTCTGTGCATGGGTGTGGGTGGGAGCATGTGTGTGCGTGTGTGAGAGTGTGTGTGTGTAATCTCCCCCTTATAAGGACACTTGTCACTGCATGCAGGGCTTGCCTGGATAACCCAGGATAACCCCACATCTCAAGATTCTTCACTTGATCACATCAGCAAAGACCCTATTTGCGAATAAGGTTGCATTCCGGTTCCAGGGGTTGGGACAAGGACACCTCCGTGGGGGCATTTTTAGCCTGCCCCTGGGCTGCAAGTGGATGTGGGCTTGGTCCCTGAGGACTTGGGGAAGGGGCTGGGACCTCAGCCAGGGAGACAGTGGGCATGAGAAGACGGGATGGGGGGCCCGGGCCCAGCCAAAGAGGCCCTCACTTCAGAACTGGCGGCAGGAGGGACCTGCTCAAGGAGGCGGCATGGCCTAGAGGCCCGGGAGAGAAGGGGCCTGGTGACCAGGTAGGGGCCAAGGAGCCAAGAGAGAAAGCAGTTGTGGGAGGGGAGCAGGGACTGAAGGGGCTGGAGGCAGATGGAGAGAGGGAGGGGTGAGAGTGGGGATGAGGCAGCCAGGAGGGGCGGTGGGGGCAGCTGCTGAGAGCGGGGTGTTCTCTGTGGCTTTTGTTTCCCAGGCAATTGTCAGCAATGTGGAAGAGTGTGGTGGGGACAGAGGCCTGGTGCACCCTAAGGAGGCAGGTCCAGGGCATGGTGGGGCAGGCTGGCTTGGGACCTGGGAGGGAGCTGGAAAGCAGAGTGGTCTGGGCCTCCCTGGGTTTGGCTCCCTAAGTACTCCCAGTGCAGAGGACAGGACTTGCTGTGTGGGAGAACTTTCTAGTAAAGCTCCCACCTCTTTACTGATGGAGGACCCAAGAGGGGCTGGCCAGTGAGCAAGGATCCCCAGTGACACTGGCAGCATTTGCCTGGCACTCAGGGGTCCTCATTCCCAGGCCTGGGCCCTCAGGGCTCTGGGCTGGGAACCCACAGACACAAACCACAGAGAAAGGACCATCACCTTACCTGGCCATGAGCTGTTTAGGGGCCACAGTTTGCTGAGGACTGGGGACTTCCATGAAACTTTGATCCTTGGCCATCTGACCTTGGCCCCAGTGGGCTCATCACAAAGGTATGCACCATGGCCAACTCTTGACTGGATTAGCCATGAGCAGTGCCCTGGGGGCCCAGGGACAGAGGCAAAGTGGTGGGGCAGGTAACCCCTGCCTCAGATTTTCTCCCCCAGACTTGCTTCTTCCCCTGCCCACACATGTCTGCTAAGAGGTGTTTGTCTTCAGCCAGGACCCACTCCTTGCCCAAGGGATGCTCCTGCTGGGGGCCACCAAAGGAGGCCGGCTCAGCAGACTGCCTCTGCCTTTGCTCACTCCAGAGCAGGGCCCTGGGGCCTGGGATGGAAGGACATGACCCCAGGGAGCCTGCCACAGTGTGGGAGGCCAAGAAGGAACACGGCCTGAATGTGCTGGGGACGGGAGGCCACGGGCCCTCAGGAGGCTCTCCTGTGCCCACAGCTCCTCTGCCCTCCTGTGGTGCCTGGGGGCATGGGGGGCAGCTGGCCTCCCGGCCGGGGGCCAAAATCCAGTTTACAACCTGCTCGGGGTGGGATCCAGTGTCCTCTGGGCCTCCACTTCCCCATCTGGAATGTGGGGTAGTAAGAGGAGCGACTCCAAGATGGCAGGGCTCTCGAGAAATGGCCAGAACTTAGCTCACGATAAATTTCCAGCATGATTGGGGCTTGCTTTAGTCTTGATCTTCCCCATTTGGGGCAATGGGAAGTCACAGACTGTGTGTGTGTGACGGGGGGATGTCCCCATGGCAGCTCTGGGCCCTGAGGAGCACATGCCCCAGGCTCAGGAAAAGCTGGCGTGGAAGGGGACTGCATGAGTGTGGAAATGAATATGTGTGAGAGTGTGAGTGTGGGTGCAAACCGAGTGGGGAGTGTGTGTGTGAGTGTGACTGTGAGTAACTCTGTGTGTGTGCATGTATGTGCCCGTGTGCTCACTGGATGAGTGTGTGAGTTGTGTAGGTGTGAGAGCATGTAACTATGCATGAATCATTGTGTAACTGTGTGGGCCACCGAGCTGGTGTGGGTGAGGGTGTGTGAGTGAGCACATATGACTGTGAGGATGTGTGTGCGTGAGATTGTGTGTGCATGAGTGTGTGTGTGTTTGTGTAGGTAGGTGAGCGAGCATGAGTTCGTGCATATGAACAGGTGTGAGTATGTGTGCATGCATGTGAGTGGGTGTGAGTAAGCATGTGTGAGCGCACATGTGAGCAGGTGTCTGAGTGTGTGTGTGCGCGAACCTCAGCCCACACTGAGAGGTGCCAGGGGCTTGGCCCTGGCTCTGGGATGCCAAATCTCGCTGGCTTTCCACAGAACCAGCTGCTTCCTGTGGAAGGGAGGAGCAGTCTGTGGGGTTTGTGACAGTTCCCCGGTGGCAGGGGCAGCAGAGCTTTCCTGTCCTTTTGGTCCCTAGCACAGTGGTGCCTCCTCAAAGAGGCCTTCCCTGAGCCGCCAGCAGCCTCTTTCATGGCTCCCCATCAATGGGGTTCCATAACCCTGACCTCAGCGGCATGAGCACATTTGCCATCTGCCGGCCACTCCCTGCTTTGTGGTCCCTGCTGTGTCCCCGGTGTTCAGCTCTGGTCTGGCACACAGCATGTCCAGGGCCCTCTTTGTCCAAGGCAAGAAAGAATTCAAGGCTGCATCCAGGCCTCTTGCACCTGCCTCAGGCTCCCGCCGAGAGCCTCTACCTGTGCCCCAGCGAGCATTCTCTGCTCGCTGCTCACAATGCTGGCAAAGGCTGGCCCTGGGGTCAGAGGCCTCCACTGCCCTTGGAGCTGGGAAGCCTGGGGGTCCACCGGCAGGCATGGGGGTCTCTGTCCAGGTAGGTGGGAACGCATGCTTGTGGGCTTGGACAGGTGTCTGCACTGGGGTTTGTCTGTGAGTCTGTCTCCACTCACACCGGGGATGTATGTGCCCCTGCGTGTCTGTCTCTGGTGCCCACCTGTGTGCAGTCTCTGTGTTCTGCCTAACCGGGTTCCCGTGATAAGCAACGGTGAGTATCTCTGGTAAGCGCGGCTTCTTCTGGGTAGACGCATTTGGACATCTGTACTCTCAACAGGTAGTGTGAGTTTGCAGGAGATCACCAATGCCTTGGAACCCACCGAGGCAAGACCCAAGGACCCCACGCTACACATCAGCCACCTGGCTCTGTGCCCCATTTTACTGTTGGGGAGAAGCACCTAGAGGGCAGGGGTCTGGAGAGGCAGTGGCAGCCTGGTGCCCCAGCCGCAAGCTCAGGGTGCTCTCTGCACTCACAGGTGCCATGGTCCCCCAGTTTCCATCCCCACCCACCCCCACTCGGCCAGTGCCCTTTGGGGGCAATGCCAGGCCTGGAAGGGCGGGCACCCCCGCGCGTCCTGGGAACAGAAGGGCACGCACCGGGTGCGTAGCACCAGAGCCCCGAGGCCCCTGCGCCGCGCACCGCCCCCCGCGCCCGCTCCCTCCTCCCTCCCTTCTCCTCACCAAGCTCCCTCCCCCTCCCCCCTCCCTCCCTCCGCGCTCAGAGCTGCGGTTGGAGCCGAGCGCGCCGCGTCGCCCGCCGCCGGTGCAGAGCGTGGGGAGCACTCGGCCGGCCGCAGCCCTCGCCAGCCGCGGAGGGTCGCGTCCCGCGCCTCTGGCCAGGCCGCCCCGTGCCCGGGCCTTTCCGTCCTTGGAGTAGATCGTTGCCCGCCTGGCGCCCGCCTGCAGTGACAGCGCCCGCCGGAGCCGAGGCCGCGGCGGCGGCCGTGCCCATGCCCGGGTAAGTGGTGCTCGGGGCGCGCGGGCGCCGCCGGGGTGGGCGCGGGCGCGGCGCGGGCACAGACGCGGGCGGGGATGGGAGGATGACCCGGCAGGTGGTGCGGCGGCAGGTAGAGGGACCCGGGTCCTCGCCCGAGGCACCTGAGCCCCGCGCCGGGCCTGCGTGTCCTTGCGGCACCGCGGCCGCGCGTCACCCCGGGGCCCCAGGCCGGCGGGCAGCGCCCCGCACCCTGCACCCTGCGCCCCGCGTCGCGCGCGCACGCGCATCCGTGTCTGAGGAACAAGGCCTTTGGGGGCTGCGGGCCGGGGCTCAGGGTGGGCACAGCGGGGGGCGCGGGATCTGGGCCGGGAGCCCGCCGGTGCGCACGCACCTTCCCAGAGTCTCGGGCACCCCCTCCCCCCCGCGCCCTCACACTGTATCATCCTTCCCCTCTTCCGTTCCCACACCGTTCCCCGCACGCCCACGCGGCTGCCCAGCAGACCCCACCGTGGTCATGGGCAGTGCCCATGAGGAGCCGCCCCCGGGGCCGCACTTAGGTAACTTCTCCATCCCTCCAGGAACGGCTGTCTCCCCCTCCTCGCCTCTGTGACCTTGGCCAGCTTTTCCTGTGGCCGCCTCCGTTTTCTCACGGGTGAAAGCTCTGGCTTTAAGATTCTGGAATTTGGAATAGCAGGTGCCGCATCTCTCAGAGCCTGAGACGATGGGCCTCTCTCTCTATGACCTGGTGTCCTTCCTTCTGCTGGCCCTTCTGGGGGTTGGTGGCTCAGCCAGCCGGCTGAGGAGAGGTGGGAGGCAGGGCAGGGGCATGGCGCACGGGCAGGTCAGAGCTGGAGGGAGTCTTGGAGAGCCCCCGGGGTGACGGCTCCATGAGGGTTTAGGAGAAACTGTGGAAATGCTCCTTGGCTCACTCAAGGGGCAGGGAAGGGACCAGAATTCTTCACCTAGATGCTTGCCATTTTCTGGCGAGGCCATATAACTTTCAAAGATGAAGCCCCGAGGCTTCCGACCCCAAGGGAGTCCCTACCTGCTGAAGGATCAAGTCCAGCCTGTCCCCAGCTGGCCCCCATCGTGAATTCTGCTGGCACCCTAAAAGTCAGCGGCTTCCCCTGGCTGACTTGGGCGCCAGTCTGGCAGGCACCCCCTGTACTTCCTCCCCTCCTTTGCTCACTAGGCTCTGTGCCCTTGCCCCTGCCATCACCCCTTACCAGTCAGTGACCATCTTAAGGCAGGGACTGGCTCTTCATTTGCACAGGCCTGGCACAGAGTGGGCACCTGGTTTCTGCATGGCATATTCATGACCTTGACCTCACTGAATCTGCAAACTCACTGAACAGGAGAGGAAAGGCCTGGACTTTTGTCCCCATTTTTCAGATGGGATCATTGAGGCCCCCAAGAGGAGAAGGGACTCAGCCCTGAATTGAGGCCACTTCCTTCATGAGCAGATGGCTGGGGACATTCCTATGGACCTGGTGGAGCAGGGAGGCAGGGAGAGGTTATCATAATAATCAAAGGCCAGCCCCACTTCCTGAGCTCCATCTGAGTCTCACATCAACCACACGAGTGAATGGCTGTTTTCATCCCCAACCCCCACCCCCCGCCGCCTCTTTTCACAGATGAAGAAACCAAAGCCATGTGGCTCATGAAAGGGGAGCTGGGATGCCGAGGAGAGGGCTGGGGATGCCTGGGCCCCTATGGGACACAGCTGAGACCCAGCAGAGGGTCCCAGGGTGAGGTCAGCCCTCAAGTCTGCGCCATTGGAAGGGGCTGGGAACTTGTGGTCCCGGGCCATTGATTGTCTCTGCTGCAGGCCCCAAGGCAGGAGGGGGCCAAGGACATAGCCAGTCTCCATCAACTCCACCTGGGCCATGCCCAGCACGGCCAGGTGGTTTGAGTGCAGGGGCAGGCTCTCACACAGCAGGGGGCAACAGACAGATGGATGTGGGGCGGGCGTGGGAGGGGGCTTGCACAGAGCCAGAAGGAGAGCCAGTCCCTTGAGGAAGGAAGCCCCTAAGGCTAAGAGCATGCCAGGGGACAGCCACAATGCCAGGTGATGGAGATGCCCCAATCGGCCCCCGAGGGGCAAGGAAGGGGCCAGAGGAGGCTCATGGGGGCGCCTAGGTCTTCAGCGACAGCAGCCCCATACCTGATGGTCTTTGTGACCTTGGCCAAGTCCCTTCTCCATTCCAGATCCAGGGAGGGTGGGGGTGGGCCTGGGCGAGCTGGAGCTTCAGAGGTTGAATCATTCACTAGCGGGAGAAGCCAAGCCTGTGAGTCAGTGAGTGCTCTCCATCCCAGAACGTCTGCTCCCAGCCCAGGGATGCAGCCATGGAGTGCCGGGGTCAGCTGTGGAGGACCCTCTGAGAATGTCTTGTGGAAAGGGGCACCTTGCCTGCCCAGTAGACAGGACAAGGGTGCCCTAGAGCCCCAGGGGCTTCTGAGAGCTGAGTACCCTCTGGGCCTCTTGCAGCCAGCAAAGCCAGGCAGAGCTTCCTCTGGCCTTTGCACCTCCTCCCCCACCTCACAGAGCAAGTCATCAGCACATATGAACTCCCTTCTGATTTTAAATTGATGGCTTGTGTATTTCACCAATGGCCACTGTCTCCATCAGTGGTCAGTAGCACATCAAGTAATGTCAACAATGATAATAGTTATAATGGCAGTCACTTTATGTCAGACACTGAGTGCTGTACAGACATTTCCTTGCCCACTTAATTGAAACAACAAATTATTGCAAGTGCTGTTATCCCCATTTTGCATTGAGGCTGAGGCCCAGAGAGGCTAGGTAACTTGCCCAAGGTCACACAGCCGGTAGGTAGCAAATCCAGGGCTCAAATGCAGTCCATCAGGCTCCGGAGTCTGGTCTGTGCTTGCAGTCATTAGTTCCTATATCTCCAGAAGTGTGTGCAGAAGTCAGCAGAATAGAGTGTGGTTTGTGTGAACTCACTGTCTCGGGTACTCCCAGCCCTGTGGGCTGAAGTCAAGGATTCTTGGGAAGACCTTGCAGCTCAGAAGCTGAGCCACCTGCACCTCTGCCCCATGTACCCACTGAGAGAAATGAACAGCAGGTGGATTTATATCAATCTCCAGCAACTCAGAGACCCGTGTGCTTTGCATTCATGGCCCCTTCAGGGCACCCCGAAGCACTGGTAGTGCACATAAATGGCAGCTGATAGATGGGGACCTGTGCCATGGCACTGAAGGCAAACGCTTCCATCTAAGCAAGTGCGAGCCTCACCAGTGCCATCTCTGAGATAGGCCGAGGCACTGGGCTCTCGCTGTGACTTTGCAGCAAGCTCCCCAGCAACGCCCCGGGCTGGGTATGCCAGGCAGAGACCTGGAGCATGCACAGGGCTCCTCCCTTCCCCGCCCTGGCTAAGCTGGCAGAAGCCAGGCCACGCAGCGCGTAGCTGGAAAGCCCTCCCCTGCCTGGGCTCCTTCTGTGGGGTGGGTGGTGCTGGCAGTGGGCCTGGAAGCCTGTGGAGAAGGACCCGAGCCGCGCGTCCCCGGGGCAGAGGGAAGCAGGCTCTCAAACGCAGGGGAATTCGGGCATCCTGGACTGCCCAAGGCTGGGAAGAGGACAAGTCCAAGGCCACATAGCTGAGTAGGTGGCAGAACTTGAATCAGAGCAACAGGGCAAGGGTGGAAATGCCAATGGTTGGGGAATCTTGGAACTGGCAGGAGTCTTTTAGCGCACAAGGCGGTTTTCGGAGTCTTAGTTCCAAATCAAAGTTGTGCAAAGCGGGAATGTCCATGTCCTTGGAGAACACCTTATTTAAAGGGGTCCTGAGCCACCCTCTCATGTTCTGTAGGTGGGTCTCTCAGTAAGTGAGCAACCATTTTATTCCAATGAGAAGTTCTGCCCTGAGGCCACAGGCTCTAGCACTTTCTCCAGCTGCACTGTTCAAGCAGCAATTTTATTAGAATGCACTTCCTCAGGTGCACCAGCCACACTTCAAGGGCTCAGGAGCCACCTAAGGCTGGTGGCTACTGTCACAGACAGTGCAGAGAGAGAACAGTTCCATCACCCCCGAATGTTCTGTCACACAGAGTTGATTTACAGGAAGTGGAAACCGGAGTCCTCACACGGACCCTGAAGCCACCTCTCACACCCACTCCCTGGTGGCACAAGGCCACTAATGCAGCAGCTTCGCTCCCCCAGAGAACCATCCTGAAGAGAAGCCCCAGAGAGGACTGACTGCTCACAGATATTTGGAGAGGTGTTCTGTGATGGGCCAGGTTCCAGTCTGAGAGCTTGACAGGTAGGGACAGAAAGTGCCAGGCTGGGCTTGAGCAGGTCGTTCCTCAGAATGGATGAGTGCATACCATTGTCAGAATGGCGCCAGCTATGCCAAGGGCCACATCTTATTGATGTGATGGGCATGAGGGACACTGCCCTGGTTCATTGTGTGCCAGGCTCTGTGTTTGCTTCAGGGGTGACGACAGAAAGCAAAAAGCAAACGCAATGCCCTTCCTGCCCTCCTGGAGCCTTTGCGCTTTGCTATGTGTTCACCAAAGCAAGTGCAAACCTGGCTGGGACCAGGAGAATGGACTGAGGCCACGAGGCCAGCCAGTATCTCCTAGCGCTCGGGTCTACAGCCTGAGTCCCTGCCCATCCTGCCCTGACTCCGCCTCCTCAGCAGCCACACGTGGCTGGTGGCTACCATATGGGCCAGTACAGAGACTCTGGGAGGTTCTGTCACACAGAGCTGCTTTACAGCAAATAGAGACCCAAGTCCTCACACAGACCTAGACACCCCCAGCCAAGCCCACTGCCCCATGGCTCCTTGGAAGGGAGTGGCCAAGCATGTACTCTCCAGGGGCTGCACAGATACCTGGACAAACGCAGACCAGGGAGGAGGGAAAAGGCCTCTGTCCCAGCAGCTCACCGTGCCATGGGGAATGCCCAGACCTCGCCTCATGCTGACTCCAGTGGCCCTAGCACACCCAGCATGGGGCAGAAACCAGATCCGGCCACCACCTGGTCCTTATTGGGCCCCGCC